ATAACATAAACACAGATCCTGAAGGTGTGACCACGTCCATTTGTCATTAATATTGTAGCATTTGGACTGAACCCCATCATTCCTTCAACATCAGCATCACTATTTGTTTGGCATAAAGGCCTTTGACCAGTGTGAGGGTTATGCATGTATAGCGTTGGTTTTTCTTTCTTTACACACATTTTCTTTTTTTTTAAATTTATTGGTAAGTAAGAAATTACAGGTATGAATCAGCTTTATGCACTGGAAACTGCTTATGTTTTTGATGTTTGTGCTGTCACAGCACTCATGAGAACGATTATGTTCCACATCCTTTCGGCTCACTTTTGTAGAGCAAAGTTTTCATGTAAATATTCACAAACTGACTGCATGAATAATGTAAATGTAGATACACTGCCATATTAAATATGCTGCACATATTCTTAAATTGAAATGTCTCTTTTTCATCCATCCCTCCATTATCGTTACCGCTTATTCCCTGATGGGGTCGTGGGGGGAAATGGAGCCTATCCCAGTGGTCAACGGGCGAGAGGCGGGGTCACCCTGGACGGTCCACCAGTCCATCGCAGGGCCACACACACAAGACATACAAGGACAAACAACCACACACACTCACATTCACCCCTAAGGGAAATTTTGAATGTCCAATCAACCTAACATGCAGGTGGGAGAGAATCAACGCAGACACAGGGAGAACATACAAACTCCACCCAGAAAGGTCCTGGGTCTCCTGGGACTCAAACCCAGAACCTTCTTGCTGGGAGATGACGGTTCCACAACCACCACACCTCTTTTTTAACATCATAAAATAAAAGAAAAAAGAAGAAAAAAGCCACACGTTTCAGTTTTTCACTAGACTTTTATTCATGTTTTTAGTTCCATATTTCGATAATTATGAAAACTGATGTGGACTGTGTGGAATGATGTCACTCAGCTGATTTTACAAAGTGGGCTCTACATTTAAAGACAGATTCAGAGGGAAGCTTTAATCATGAGTCGAACACCATCATGTAACAAACAAATCCCTATACGAGTCGGTCACATCACAGAAGGAAGCAGAGC